CCCCGCCCCGTTTTGGGGTGTCCCCGGGGGTCTGCGGGCGGCTGAGGGGGGGGCTGGGAGAGGGCCCCCCCCTCCCCGGCCTGCTGCCCTGTCAGTTATCCTCTCCCCCCCTCCTCCTCCTCTCTCCTCTTGGTGCCCGCAGCAATCAGGACGACTACCAGCTGGTTCGAAAGCTCGGGCGGGGGAAGTACAGCGAGGTCTTCGAGGCCATCAACATCACCAACAACGAGAGGGTCGTCGTGAAGATCCTCAAGGTGAGTGTCCCGTTGATGGTGTAGGGGTTTGCAGTGGCTGGAGGCGAGGGGGAGAGGAGCTGGGTTGGCAGGGCCAAAGGACCGTTGGATCTCCTCCTTCACCCCAAAACTCTTGTTTGCTCATTAAGGACATTGGGACGGTGGGTTTGGAAATGGATTTGGTGTCCTGCGTGCTGTAGCGATGTTTTGATGTCTCCTGTCCAGCATAGCTCTGGGCTGAGAGCTCCTCTGGAGGAGGAGAGCTGCGAGTCCTGACATTTGAACAGCGTTGCATGTGCTGCCTGCCTTTGGTAAATTGTATCTGGCAATGCCCAGGGACTGCCATGTCAACAGGAATGCGAAGCCTGGAGGGGGGAATCCTGTTAACCTCTAGACAGCTGGCACATGGCCTTTTTGGAGCCAGGCTGTGGGATGCTCAGCAGTCAAAAAAGCAGGCAAAATTTTATGTTCAGTCCTTTAGAGGATCTTACATGGAAAAGAACTTCACCACAGGCAGGCCAAAAACACCACAGAAACTTGAGGAGACTGAAAAGGGGCTGTCTGAAGTTTGGCAACATCGGTGACCTGTATTCTGACATGTTGGCCTTAGTGCTATGGGGACCTTCATGCAGTAGTAACAGGTTGTAGTTTGGGATGGCTGAATGCACGGGTTAGCCGCTGCAGGGCACACCTTACCATGTTTGGCGCTGAAGCAGCATGCTCACAGCGAGCTGTGGTAACTGTCCTAGCAGCAACCTGTGTTGGTGATCTGGGGGTAGACAGGGGTGTTAAAAAAACAGAAATGAAAGGTTAGAGTTAAGGTGCTTTTGGTTTTGGCTTGGCTGACACTTGTGGCTGTCACTTGTTGGACCAGCAACACTTGTCACTTGTTCCCCAAGAGCACGTGGGAGCTGGTGTCTGACCATGGGTGCCCTAAGAATTTGGGCACGTGTTGATCCACAGCGTGCAGGGGGGTCTGAGCTTAATCTGCCCTTGCAGCCACTAAGACTAGCACTACCTAGGACACGGGTCTCTCTGCAGGGCTCTAGCCTTAAGGCATTTGCTAGATCCACTCTGATAGTGTGGCTAGCTGTCTCGTTTTGTCTTTGCTGATATCCCCACTTGCTCACTGTGCCTGCTTCCTTGGCATCTTCCTTGGCTTCCCAGAGAACTTGTCACGGTTTGTCCGGCCACCGCTCCTAGGCAAGGTGTAATCTCCCATCTGCCTCTGGGAGGAGGCGCGCGCACCCCTGCGTTGGCTGTGGTCAAGGTGGTGGTCAGGTGAGCCGTGTGGGAGAGCCCCTGTGGCTGAGCCTGACGTCAGGGCAGCGTGGTGAGGCTCATGTGCCCTTGCCGAGCTGAGTTCCTCTGGCATGCTGTTTGGTCCTCCCCCTCCTTTGGATGCTTTATGTGGGTTTGGTTTTTGTGTTGTTTTTTTTTTTGAGTAGGGGCAGGCAGGAGGTTTTGCTATGAGAGAGTAGTCAAAGGTAGCCAGTGCAGAGCTGGGTTTTATAGCAAGTTGGCTTGTGGCTAGGCTGGGGAAACTGCGCACTTCTGCATGCCGCTCTGGAGCCCCTGATGGTCTCTTCAGGACTGCTGTGGTTTGTTGAGACCCTAGGTCTTGTCCCACATAGAAAGGCACCATGAGGCTGAGAAGAGACTGCAGGGAAAGTCATCAGAAATCTTCCTCCTTGCCTCTTCCCAGCCTAAAGAGCCTCCCCTGGAGCGATGCTCCTCTCCCTGTGGCAGCCGAACTCTGTCATGTCTAGGGAGCCTGTCAGCATTGGACTGTGAGTCAGCTGGCAAGAGTCATCTGAGGGCGGCTGGGTGCTCCTTGGGGCCTGAATGTGTTGCCTTAATGCCCTGCGAGCAGGGGACTGGATTGTCCCAGATTTGAAGTGGATGGTGTTGCCACCAGTTCCCCTGGCTCCCCCCACTTGCGTTAACATGCAGACAGCATTCCTGTGAGTGAGTGAGCAAGGAAAAGCAGAAAGTCCAGATAAATAAAGATGAACTTTCTTCTCAGTGGAAAGTGGGTCAGTGAAAAGTGAGTTTCAGAGCACCGTGTTGCGTACGTTATGAAAACCTGTGAAGTGTGGCAATAACATCACTCTGATCTGTGGAAAGTGCCTCTGTTTTCCTGTAGCTAGACTCAAACTTAATTGCAAATGTAATTACATGTATCTACAGTGGAGCCTTAGCAAAGAGGCTGGGTCTCTCTGTTCCTCCTGGCTCAGGCTGGATCCTGTGAGGCCCATGGGAAATGCAACCAAAAGTCTTCAGGTTTTTGTGTGGCTGTAGGGGTGGGACAAAGTAGAAGACTGTTGCTGGGTGATGGATGCGGCTGTTTAGCACAGTTGCTCCTTTCTCTTTAAGGTTTTTTGAGAGGACAATTTATGTTATGTGTTAGAGTGATTTTTAGCAAGAGTCACTGTTTTAATATCTGCACCTCATAGGAGGTGACTGGTGTCTCTTTCCAGCCTTGCTCTTTGAAGCAGCTTGTCCTTACTGAGCTCAAGTTAGCATGTAGCAAGTACTTCCCCTGCCTTTTTTTTTTCCTCCCCTTCTTTGGTGTTGTGCTACCTGAACATCTTGTACCCTCCTCCAGAGAGGTCAGGAAATTTTCTCACCCTTTCTGTGATGCAGAACTGAGCCACAGAGATTTCCTGTGTGACTTTGGGCAAGTCCCTTAGCCTCAACAAAGCTGAGACTAGAGCATAGGTCCTAGTCTAGTGCCACATGAACAAGATAACTGCTCTTCCTCTTCTGGCAGCTACTTGCCTTGTTTGTTTAAATGCCCTATGAAGACTTTACCATTGGACAGGGCCAGGGAGCTAATGGCTCTGATTGGTATCACAGTGCCGCAGGCCTTTTGGGCTTGCATAAAGCAAGATGCCCCATTTCCCTGGCCAGTACCCAGCACTGCCTTTCTGTTCTGCTACCCCAAGTGCAGGACCAGGTATAATCCTGCAGGAATACGGGATGTGCTCACGCCACTAGTTGTGGTCATAAGATGTGTCAGCAAAGGAGCAGAATTAAGATCATGCAGATGACTATAACATTACCATTTCCTGAGTCAAGTGCCTTTCTTTGCAAATATGGTGCTCTTAATGTCACTTTTTCCAGGAAAATTTTGCAGTTTTTTTAAAAAAAGGCAAACGAAGCAAGCAGGTTGCTTCTCACTCCACTGCAGCAAGACATCAGGACGTGCCGCGTAGGACAGTGTGTGCAAAGCAGTGAGGCAGGAGCCCTGGTTTCCCACACAGACACCCCCTGCCAAGCGTCCTCCAAAAGCTTTTATCTTGAGAAGCGAGGCAGAGGGCAACTCCCCACCTTTTCAATCTGTTCAGGGAGCAAAGATTCAGCAAAAAAAGCCGTGGGGCTGAAGTCATCTTGGTAGGTAGCGGAGGACTCTGCACTGTACTGACCTTCCTACCCGTCATGGGTAGTAGGGCATGGAGTTAGCCAGCAGCTGTGTTCCTGCAGTCCCTAGCTGGTGTAGGAGGCTCTTGTGAGCTTTCTGATCTGGCTGGCCTCAGTACAGCTGTGGGCATGCTTCCTGCATGCTTAGGGGAGGGCCAAGCCAGGAAGAGAGAATGTGTGAACAAGTCCTGTACGTGCTTTTGTGTCTTGCTTAAATCTGATGCTAAGGTTTGACTCCCAGGATGAGGTCTGACATTCCTTGGCATGTACAAAGGAAGTTTAAGACATCTTTGTTTCCAGTGAGTCATTTATCGTCTACATCCAATGCAGGTATCTAAAGCACAGCTCTGCTCTTTCATATCTAACCACATAGATTTAGATTTTTGGTGGACCACTGAGGTCAGTCTGCAACCTTTCTGCCGTCTCTTTGATGAACTTCTCATTTCACTTTTCTGCTAATGCAGCTCCAAACTGTCTGCCAGTCTCCTCGTGTGCCTTAAAAGTGAATCCTCCATTCTGGGGTAACGGTGTCCCTGCGGGGTGTGAACAGCATTGCAAGTTGCCACTCTAAAAAACAAAGATAAACTTTCCACATTGCTTGTAACTTTTATGGGTGAGTCTTTGTGGTGAGAATGCCGCTGTTAGTTACCTACAGTTATGGCTGTTGGTGAGCTTCAGCTGTACCGCAGCATCCTTCACAGCCTGTTCGCTTGTACTGATTACTGCCATCTGAATGTCTGCTCAAGGTGGAGATTACAGCATCCATATTGTCAGCTCTGTGCAGGAGTCCTCCTGCTTTCCTGATGCACGTGTGTGTCTATGTACACTCTACTTGCCTGCAAAGCATTAAACCCATCACATAAAGGGACTGTTTTGTCTCCTTGTATGGTTACTATCTGCATAGGCACAACACGCAGGCGGAGGTTAGGGGAAGAATGCAGTTACAAGGAGAGGGACCAGTGAAATGGAGGTTCTGCAGCAGTGATGAAATAGCCCCTTTCTCCTTTGGTGGCTTTTGTCCCTCTGTGCTGAGTCCATGAACTGGAACTTTCAACCATGTACGTGGTTTCACAAGTGCATTCTTGTTTGTTTGGCTTTGTTTTTCCCCTGTTCCCCCTTTTGGGCTGTGTGAACCCTCCAGAGCTGCTGCTCATACCAGGCACTGGTGCAAGGTCCTTCCAGTGTTGAACTCAAATTATCGCTGTAGTAGCTAGAGAACTGTTTGGGGGAGGTAGCCCTGTGGCTCTGATAAATTTTCATCCGTCTTTAAAAGCTTTAGAGCCCACATACATCAGCATGTTCTAGATGGAGGCTGAAATGACTCCCGTGCTGGTGTGCAGAAGGGATTGCACAGGGAAATAGGATTGGATGGTGTTGGTCCCTCAGGCTGGAGCTTTTGACTGCGTCAGTGACCTTCCACCAAAGCCGTTCAATGCCTGCTCCGGGTAGCTATCTGTGTCTCTTGCTCCTCCTGCATTTGCGTGCACTGAATCAGCTCTCCCTGGCCCACTTCCTCCCCTGGCAGTCTTGAAATGAGCCCTTTTGCAAGAGAGCCGGGTACACAGCTCTTCTCTTTTAAACACCAGTTGCCCACACTG